TACATGACTTGAAATCCCTTGTACATGTACTTGTATACCTTGTACATGTACTGGTATACCTTGTACATGTACTTGTATACCTTGTGCATGTACTTATATTAAATAATAATGCCCTGAAATGCCCGCCATGATAGTGGCGTTCCTTGCACTTGTAAATCAATATTGTCACACACGGTAAACTATGCCTGGTAATACACGGTAATACACGGAGGGCCCGGGTTCGATTCCCGGCGGGTGGAAACATTCCGACACGTTTCCTTACACCTGTTGTCCTGTTCACCTAGCAGCAAATAGGTACCTGGGTGTTAGTCGACTGGTGTGGGTCGCATCCTGGGTGTTAGTGGACTGGTGTGGGTCACATCCTGGGTGTTAGTGGACTGGTGTGGGTCACATCCTGGGTGTTAGTGGACTGGTGTGGGTCGCATCCTGGGTGTTAGTCGACTGGTGTGGGTCGCATCCTGGGTGTTAGTCGACTGGTGTGGGTGGCATCCTGGGTGTTAGTCGACTGGTGTGGGTGGCATCCTGGGGGACAAGATTAAGGACCCCAATGGAAATAAGTTAGACAGTCCTCGATGACGCACTGACTTTCTTGGGTTATCCTGGGTGGCTAACCCTCCGGGGTTAAAAATCCGAACGAAATCTTATCTTATCTTATCTTACACTCCTTATAACATGTCACACACTATAAACTTTGCCAAGAAATAAAAAAATGAATCTAAAAAAAAAATCTAGATTTGAAAAAAAGATATATTGTACCCACCTGTCTAAAAATCATGTCTTGGACGTGTAGACTCATGGTCCTCGCGGATGGAGCAAAATAAGCGAAACGCGACGACCTGAGCGTCACCGCTGCGCTGCTCAACATATATCTGTCTGACTGGTGGTACAAGTGGTGAGAGAAAGTGAGTGTGAGAGAGACAGTGTGCGAGAGGTCAACCCACTGTGGTAGTCAAGACACTGAGTGAGAGAGCTGGCTGCTCACACACCTTCAAGGTCACAGTGACCCTAATAAAATAACTCACTTTTATCATTTTTTTTTTGAGGGTTATTCTTGGTAATTTTCCCATATGTTACTGTATAATAATTGTACTTATATAGACCTATGCTTAAAAGAATTTACTTATTTCAGACACACTCTATAATGTACTTAATCATAGAAAATGGTACTGGGAAGTAGGTGAGTAAACTAATATAAATCAGGGAAATTAGGTACATAAGTACTTGTAAGTCAAAAATCAGGTAGGTAGGTAAGAGAAATAAACAGAGTGTGCTATTAAAAGTAAAGTAACAAAGTTTATTTGGTTATATTGGGTTTTAAAAGGGTTTCTGTGGCTTGGTTGGTGACACATTTGCCTCATGTTACCTTTGTACCTTACTCAGATGTTAAAACCTTGTGGTACAGTCCCTGGACCCATTGTGTACCTCTGTAATGTTGAGGTACAGTCCCTGGACCCATTATGTACCTCTGTAATGTTGAGGTACAGTCCCTGGACCCATTGTGTACCTCTGTAATGTTGAGGTACAGTCCCTGGATCCATTATGTGCCTCTGTAATGTTGAGGTACAGTCCCTGGACCCATTGTGTACCTCTGTAATGTTGAGGTACAGTCCCTGGATCCATTATGTACCTCTGTAATGTTGAGGTACAGTCCCTGGATCCATTATGTGCCTCTGTAATGTTGAGGTACAGTCCCTGGACCCATTATGTACCTCTGTAATGTTGAGGTACAGTCCCTGGATCCATTATGTACCTCTGTAATGTTGAGGTACAGTCCCTGGACCCATTATGTACCTCTGTAATGTTGAGGTACAGTCCCTGGATCCATTGTGTACCTCTAATGTTGAGGTACAGTCCCTGGATCCGTAATGTACCTCTGTAATGTTGAGGTACAGTCCCTGGACCCATTATGTACCTCTGTAATGTTGAGGTACAGTCCCTGGACCCATTATGTACCTCTGTAATGTTGAGGTACAGTCCCTGGACCTATTATGTACCTCTGTAATGTTGAGGTACAGTCCCTGGAGCCATTATGTACCTCTATAATGTTGAGGTACAGTTCCTGAATCCATTATGTACCTCTGTAATGTTGAAGTACAGTCCCTGAACCCATTATGTACCTCTGTATTCTTACTGACTATCACCCACAGGATGGGTCTGGGCTACATACTAAAGATGTCAACATATTGAGAGGCCCCTGTGGAACACCTCTTGTGGTTCTCCCACTCTGATTTCTCCCCGTTTATGCAAACTCTGTTGATAAATGAGACTTTTGCAGTATCTAGGTATCATTATTTTGGAAACATTTCGCCACACGGTGGCTTCTTCAGTCCAATGTAGAAAAAGGTGGAACAAGGAGTTTGAGGTAATCGGTCCTTCAGCCTTGACAAAAGTCCCTCAACCTAGACAAAAGTCCCTCAGCCTTGACAAATGTCCCTCACCCTTGGCAAAAGTCCCTCAGCTTTAGCAAAAGTCCCTCAGCCTTGGCAAAAGTCCCTCAGCCTTGACAGAAGTCCCTCATCCTTGACAAAAGTCCCCCAGCCTTGACAAAAGTACCTCAGCCTTGACAAAAGTCCCTCAGCCTTGGCAAAAGTCCCTCACCCTTGACAAAAGTCCCTCAGCTTTGGCAAAAGTCCCTCAGCCTTGACAAAAGTCCCTCAACCTAGGCAAAAGTCCCTCAGTTAGTTTAATATGTTTATTATGCACCCCATACCCATCCTGTGGGTGGTAGTCACCCCATACCCATCCTGTGGGCGGTAGTCAAAAGATTACAGAGGTACATAATTGGTCCAGGGACTGGACTCCAAAGTTTTGATAGCTGAGCAAGTTACAGAGGTAATGAATTCACAATTTACAAAGGTAATGAACTCACAATTTACAAAGGTAATGAACTCACAATTTACAAAGGTAATGAACTCACAATTTACAAAGGTAATGAACTCCAGGTATTTCTAGTCCCTCAGCCTTGACAAATGTCCCTCACCCTTGGCAAAAGTCCCTCAGCTTTAGCAAAAGTCCCTCACCCTTGGCAAAAGTCCCTCAGCCTTGACAGAAGTCCTCATCCTTGACAAAAGTCCCCTAGCCTTGACAAAAGTCCCTCAACCTAGACAAAAGTCCCTCAGCCTTGACAAATGTCCCTCACCCTTGGCAAAAGTCCCTCAGCTTTGGCAAAAGTCCCTCAGCCTTGGCAAAAGTCCCTCAGTCTTGACAGAAGTCCCTTATCCTTTACAAAAGTCCCTCAGCCTCGACAAAAGTCCCCCAGCCTTGACAAAAGTCCCTCAGCCTTGACAAAAGTCCCTCAGCATTGACAAAAGCCCCTCAGCCTTGGCAAAAGTCCCTCAGCCTTGGCAAAAGTCCCTCAGCCTTGACAAAAGCCCCTCAGCCTTGGCAAAAGCCCCTCAGCTTTAGCAAAAGTCCCTCAGCCTTGGCAAAAGTCCCTCAGTTAGTTTAATATGTTTATTATGCACCCCATACCCATCCTGTGGGTGGTAGTCACCCCATACCCATCCTGTGGGCGGTAGTCAAAAGATTACAGAGGTACATAATTGGTCCAGGGACTGGACTCCAAAGTTTTGATAGCTGAGCAAGTTACAGAGGTAATGAATTCACAATTTACAAAGGTAATGAACTCACAATTTACAAAGGTAATGAACTCACAATTTACAAAGGTAATGAACTCACAATTTACAAAGGTAATGAACTCACAATTTACAAAGGTAATGAACTCCAGGTATTTCTAGTCCCTCAGCCTTGACAAATGTCCCTCACCCTTGGCAAAAGTCCCTCAGCTTTAGCAAAAGTCCCTCACCCTTGGCAAAAGTCCCTCAGCCTTGACAGAAGTCCCTCATCCTTGACAAAAGTCCCCTAGCCTTGACAAAAGTCCCTCAACCTAGACAAAAGTCCCTCAGCCTTGACAAATGTCCCTCACCCTTGGCAAAAGTCCCTCAGCTTTGGCAAAAGTCCCTCAGCCTTGGCAAAAGTCCCTCAGTCTTGACAGAAGTCCCTTATCCTTTACAAAAGTCCCTCAGCCTCGACAAAAGTCCCCCAGCCTTGACAAAAGTCCCTCAGCCTTGACAAAAGTCCCTCAGCATTGACAAAAGCCCCTCAGCCTTGGCAAAAGTCCCTCAGCCTTGGCAAAAGTCCCTCAGCCTTGACAAAAGCCCCTCAGCCTTGGCAAAAGCCCCTCAGCTTTAGCAAAAGTCCCTCAGCCTTGGCAAAAGTCCCTCAGCCTTGACAGAAGTCCCTCATCCTTGACAAAAGTCCCCCAGCCTTGACAAAAGTCCCTCAGCCTTGACAAAAGTCCTTCAGCCGTGGCAAAAGTCCCTCACTCTTGGCAAAAGTCCCTCAACCTAGGCAAAAGTCCCTCAGCCTTGACAAATGTCCCTCACCCTTGGCAAAAGTCCCTCAGCCTTGGCAAAAGTCCCTCAGCCTTGGCAAAAGTCCCTCAGCCTTGACAGAAGTCCCTCATCCTTGACAAAAGTCCCCCAGCCTTGACAAAAGTCCCTCAACCTAGACAAAAGTCCCTCAGCCTTGACAAATGTCCCTCACCCTTGGCAAAAGTCCCTCAACCTAGACAAAAGTCCCTCAGCCTTGACAAATGTCCCTCACCCTTGGCAAAAGTCCCTCAGCCTTGGCAAAAGTCCCTTAGTCTTGACAGAAGTCCCTCATCCTTGACAAAAGCCCCTCAGCCTCGACAAAAGTCCCCCAGCCTTGACAAAAGTCCCTCAGCCCTGACAAAAGCCCCTCAGCCTTGACAAAAGAGCCTCAGCCTTGGCAAAAGTCCCTCAGCCTTGACAAAAGCCCCTCAGCCTTGACAAAAGCTCCTCAACCTTGACAAAAGCCCCTCTGCCTTGGCAAAAGCCCCTCAGCCTTGGCAAAAGCCCCTCAGCCTTGGCAAAAGTCCCTCAGCCTTGGCAAAAGTCCCTCAGCCTTGACAAAACCCCCTCAGCCTTGGTAAAAGCCCCTCAGCCTTGGCAAAAGTCCCTCAGCCTTGGCAAAAGTCCCTCAGCCTTGGCAAAAGTCCCTCAGCTTTGGCAAAAGTCCCTCAGGCTTGACAAAAGTCCCTCAGCCTTGACAAAAGTCCGTCAGCCTTGACAAAAGTCCCTCAGCCTAGACAAAATTCCCTCAGCCTTGGCAAAAATTCCTCAGCCTTGACAAAAGCCCCTCAGCCTTGACAAAAGTCCCTCATCCTTGGCGAAAGTCTCTCAACCTTGACAAAAGCCCCTCAGCTTTGACAAAAGCCCCTCAGCTTTAGCAAAAGTCCCTCAGCCTTGGCAAAAGTCCCTCAGCCTTGACAAAAACCCCTCAGCCTTGACAAAAACCCCTCAGCCTTGACAAAAGCCCCTCAGCCTTGGCAAAAGTCCCTCGGCTTTAGCAAAAGTCCCTCAGCCTTGGCAAAAGTCCCTCAGCCTTGGCAAAAGTCCCTCAGCCTAGACAAAAGTCCCTCAGCCTTGACTAAAGCCCCTCAGCCTAGGGAGAGGGATGAGTAGTAGGTTACGGAGAACAGCGGGTCATTGGATAGCAAAAGGGTAAAGGGCAGCAAAAGATTGAGGTAGAAAGGGCTGAGGGGAGTGCGTAAGGTATCATCATCAGAATTTGTGGAGTAAATCAGTCGTTGTCAAGAAGTCAATGAGAGAGTCAGGATTAAAGGAGGGTCCATCAGCAAGAAGGGAAGGTAAAGAGAGAGCAGCAGAGCAGAGACGATGTTGGAAGTAAATTCTGCGTGCTCGTTGATAGAGAGGGCAGTCTAACAGAATGTGGCTAATCGATACTGGAACTTGACACTGCTCACAGAAAGGAACAGGGTGCGTCTCCATGAGATATCCATGAGTAAGACGAGTGTGGCCAATGCAAAGGCGGGAGAGAGTAGTCTCCCAACCTCGACACTGGCGACAAGAAGACGGCCAGTTACCTATACTCGGTTTGATAGAACGAAGTTTGTTACCAAGCAGATTAGACCAATGCTGTTGCCAACGG